CAAAGACTGTGTATTTTCGATATTCAGCATACGTGTATCGCGATACAAATATCTCTGTGTAAAAGGTGGTGTATCGACAATTTTGAATCGTGATTCCGTAAGACTAGCTGTATTTTCAGTATTCGTCATATGCGTATCGTAATGCAAGTATCGCCATCCCTAACTTTCCTCATTACATTACTTACATTAAATGCGAGATATTGCATCACTATCAACGCAAAACAGAACGTGAAGTATGTATCAGTCGTCAGTCAGTGTAATAAGTTAAACTGAGAGTTCAATAAAAGCTCAATTAACGATATTTTTCTACAAAAAAAAAAAATTACGTTTTTTAAAAATTCGCACAACTTTTGAATATAACAGCAAGTAAATAGTGTAAAGAGTATAAGGAGTGTTAATATTGATGACGAATATCCACCATCTTTTGTGATCATATTTTAGTAGCTAATAAATTAAATCAAGACACATATCTCGTTAAAAATGCATTTTGATTTGATTTCTTCAATTTTTAGCTAAATTGTAGAATCAGGCGAAACATAAATATAAGCATGTACATAAGTGAAAGTAGTTAGCTAGTATGAATCGCTAGATAAATTCAAATGGATGATTTTGCTGTGCCTACACTGGCGAAACAGGTCAGGATGCATCTTGTTTCCGTTCGCTGTATCTTCCCACTATTTGTTAATCGATTCTTTCCTCAATTCAAGAGCAAACAAGTCTTGCGGAATTTTGTTGATAAGTCGAGAACGTGCACGGCCTGATTATCTCGTTCTAATTCAATCTCGAAACAAATTCAAATTCCGTTATAAATTATCCTTGTTCATGTAACTTCTTTAAATGTTTCTTTCAATCTTGTTCCCATCTCCGTTATTTATCGTTAATAGTTATATGTATAACAAATTTGCAATGTCGATATTCATTAAAAAAATTATTTTATGGATAGATCATCGAATGATTTAGTGTAGTTTATGTAACTAACGCCTTTGTAAATCAAGAGTTTATAATTTTATCAC